TATATGAATATCATTTCATATTTCATAAATTTAATTTAATGTGTTAAGTATTCTAAAAACCATCTTAATGGCTGCATCCCATTGTATTGGGTTGATAAGCCACAATATTTTCCATTGATCCCCTATTATTCATCATTTATTGCTTCTGATTTTTTGGTCATTTTTTTAAACAGCACTTTGATGAACATTCATATAGCTAAGGTTTATTAGTGATCTCTAGTTATTTCCTGGAATATATCCATACACTTTGTTGTTAAGTCAACAGACACTAGTATGCTTCTCAGGGTACCATTTGGTCCTCTTAAAGAAATCATCTCAATCTATGAGTATGTGACTTTGAAGAGATTTCTCTTATCCTACAGCTAACATTTTCCCAATGCTATCTCAGTGATTAGCAACACTTCCCCAAGTTGGGCTTTAATATTTGGCAGCAGCCTCCTCGTGCCGTTTGCTAGCCGTGGCTGATGCTCATTCGCTTGTAAACCCACGTGGTATCTCCTCTTGATGCAGTGCCTGCACGGCCACATTCCACTAGGTACGGGAATTTTAAAATCTAGGTCATCTCCATCATCTTAACGTTGGCATAGGAGTAGAACCAAACTATTTTTCTGGATCCAGTTCTGCTACCAACTGCAAGTATCCCAGGCAGCTTGAATTTTTTTTTTTTAACCATCCATAGGAATCTGCTTGATAAACTTGAATTTTTAAATGCCTAAAAATCTGATTACACACAACCTACATCCTAAAAGTTGGATGTTCTCAGCAACCACACAGGCATTATACTTTTACACCCACCAAATTAGCTGTACCATCCTTGATTCCTACTCTCCTCATGAAAGTTTAGTTGTTGCACTAGAGGGGTAATTCCTCTATTGCTGGGAAACTCTCTCTTTTGTGTGCCTCTGCCATTAAGCTCCCTCTTGGAATCCTACCATCTCTGCTGTTCAAGTACCAAGTATAATTCTAATACTGAAAAATAGCGTTCAGGGTTTTTTCTCCTGCACAGTATGAATCAAGTATTCTTAACATGTCCCCTCTACACGCTGGATCTTTGTAAATATATTACCCACTGGAGTAGGACAAATACAATGTTGTCAAGCGAATGGAACTGTATAAAAAGCAAAAGCTTTGAAAATAAATGCCCTGCTAGTAAAAAATGGAGAGGCACTGAAAAAACTATAGGGGATGCTCAAATGCCTTTCAAGTCACATGGGAAAATGTCTCGGTCTATGAAAACCCAGGGTACAAAGCCAGATTGTAAAAAAGCAGCGTAAGAAGGGGTTTTCAAGAGATTTCTTAACTTTTCAAAAGAATTTGTATCAGTATTTCTTTATGTAGAATATTCTCCTAATACCTGTAAGATATAATTTTGTTTACCCCTTGTGTTGAACCTCAGTGCCTAACAAGAGTGCCTTCCTGACCCTGATATTTTTTAAAAACGTTATGAATTATTCGGCATCTGTAAAATGACAAATGCACTTTCATCTCTCATGCTGAGGCATTGATTACTAGAGGTTAGCGGTGGAGCCCTAGGTTGAGAAGGATTCCAAGGCCTCATCTGTGATCAGCAGGAAAGAGTGCTGTGATCAACTAGTGATGTCTGCCACAGGAACAGGCAATGGAGAGGGAGCGTGAGTGCCATTTTTTTGTTTACTTGGTGGCAGATAGGAGTCTGTCACAAAGAGCACATCTTCCTTTCTCTCTCAAGAGCTTGACCGCCTAGGTTTGAATGCCAGCTTTCTCCCACTCACGAGTTGCATGAGCTTGGGCAAGTCACTTAATCTCTCTGTGTCTTGGTTTTCTTCACTGTAAATTAGGAACAGCAACAGACTGAACTCATAGGATGTTTGGGATGATTAAAAGGCTTGAATTATGCAATGCATTATGAGCCATGCCAGGCACATAACATTTTAAACCTATGTGTTAGCTATTATTAGTATTAGTACACTATATTATATATTATTATCCTCCTGCCATTGACTTGTGACTGGCCACACCCCCCTGGCCACATGTGCCCCCTGTGAAATGGACATAACCAAGAGACAAGATGCGATGGACTCAGGTGTGGGAGGGATCCGCATCCTCCACCCATCTACTCTGCAGGCAGGTCAACTTCACAGAGTCCCATGGTCCTGGACAAGCCAGGTCAGGCCAGACTAACAACCCCCACACTCCTCTCTTCCTTAAAGGGGTGGTTTTCTCCCGTGGTTTATGGAGAAATCCAATAAAATCAGATAAGCTACTTGGACATAAATGCAGCTCCATTGCCAGTGAATAATCGACAGTCACATCTGACTGGCCTCCCAGGGAGGTTCCAGATGTTGGATGTGGAACATGGGTGCGAACACCACTGTGGCAGAGTCCGAAGACCCAGCATACGTGGGGCCTGTGACCCTGGGCTTGTCATTTACCTTTTCTAGGTTTCAGTTTCGCTTCCCCACATGCAAAAACACCTTCCTGCCAGTGTGGCTGTGATAGTTAAATGAAGTCACATCTCTGAAAATGCTTTGACAGCTCTCCACACCATAGAATTGTAAGGTATAAAAATGCTCTTCTTATCGCACAAGAAGGAAGGTGCTAGAAAGGAGTTTAACCCACATTGCTCTCCTGCTGCCATAGAGCATGCCATAGAGTGAAACCACCCCATAACGAGACCCCTTCGGTTTTTATTAGAATCCAAGACCTTCCTAATGGTGAATTCTGCTCTGTGGTTAATATGCTATGGGGATGTCACAGTACATTGATTTTGAACCGTCATGTTTTTGCCTGATAGTATTTCGATACACATCATGTATTAGATTTGATTTTCTTTATTTACCCTGTTAGCTCCGCAGCAGTTCCGGGTCCTGTGTGGCCTAAATGCTATAGTTCTGTTGCCATTTCCCATCCAGAGTTGACTACCATTTCCAACAAGGAATCTCCTCTGGGTGTTTTGGGAGAAAGGTGCAAGAGTTAAGGCAGGGATGGGAGAGCCAGCCAACTTTTCATGCAGGAAGGCTCAGAGTTTGTGACTTTGAGTCAGCACCTGGGGCTGGGGGGAAGGGCTGAGCCCAGGCCCAGTTGCCTCCAGCCTCAGTGTGCTGTCTACAAACAGCATCACGTTCTGCACGTGTCTTGTGCATAAGGAGGTCGGGGAGCACAGTCTGATGGCATAGGGGGCATGTTGTATGTTTCACAATCTCCCTCTTCTTTAATTCTCCCCATTAATCCCCTCCCTTCCGCTTCACAAATGAGCAACCTGGAGTTAGAGAGAGGGTATGTGCATAGCTCAAGGTCACAGAAAATTACCAGAAGATCAGGGACAGGCTCCCAAACTTTCTCCTCTCTTCTAGTGACTTCTATTTCTTTTCTTCCTTCCTTCCTCCTTTCATCCTTTGTTTCTGCTTTTTAATGATTTGTGTGCATATTTTAATTTTAGAAGAGTGACATCAAAGAAACAATCTATTCCTGTTCATTTCTTTAAAAAATGGAAAATTTGAAAAGTAAAAAGGAGAAAGACATCCCCCAACCTACTAACATCCAAATATAAATAAAGCTAATTCACATTTTAGTGATTTTCATTCTGTCCCTCTGCCCATATTTTTTGCCTGTTTGGTAGTGATGGTCCCTGTTGTGTGGTATCGTTTTGTTTTTACGGTTTTAAACATGCTTTTTATACAAGTTTATATTTTACTTTTTCAGCATTGTAACTTCACCATTCACCCATGTTACTTATCTTTTATAAATATGATTTTAACAGCTAAGTAATATTCCTCAATAATATTCTGTTGCATTGGCAAACTATGGATATGTGTAAGTGCTCAATATTTCAATTTCAAATTCAAATTTTCTGATTCTCATTCTTATATTGCTCCCACTGTTGCTATTCTCTATCACTAGAATGGGTAGCATCTTTTATCACAACTGTACATAAAATTCCTGACCACATATCACTCAAGAAAATGAGGTGATTAAATTATATAAGCAGATTCTTTAAAATTAAAAATAATTCTTAAAATATTTGTAGCCTCTGCATCTCAGTCATCTCTGTTAGACAGATGTCCTCTGTCCCAAGACAAAGAGTGGCTTCTATGATAGCCAAAGAGATTAGCAAAGCAAACTCAAGCTTCCAACATCCATGATTTCTTAAAAATTATCTTTTTGAGTTCTCTTTAATTTTATAAAATTTAAACCTAATAATTTTTCATGGAAACCATTAAGAGAAATAACACTGAAGAAAAGTGAAAAGACAAAATTTCTATAATCCCCAAGCCAACCCTAGCATCACATATTTAACAACACATTTTTAAATAGAAAGAAAGATGCTTTTTTTTTTGCCAATATTGCTTTTCTGTTCTTTTTTTCAATAGAATGCAGGGCGGCTCATACATCAAAAACCAAGCCTCATCTTAATGCAAGGTAATAATTTTCTTTTGGGATAAATCAGGTGGAAACTCATACTTAGAGACTATGTTTCAGGCACTTGGGAGACCCAAAGATGGGGAGCAGGGCAGGGTAGGGAGAGGGGCAGGGTAGGGCTTGGGGCACAGGTCCCCTGCGGAAGGAGGAGTGTACTGGGGACTCCTGGAAGCCATAACCCTGCTCACACTGCCACTCAGTCACTCACAAGGGAGGGACAGGTCCCAGGCTCAGAGTCCTGGGCACCCAGAACACCCGAAAATGGAAGGGTAGAGGCCGTCTGAGTCTGGGGAGAAGGTCTCAACCAGGGAGGGACAGCAGAGGGCTTGCAGGCTGTGCTCTTGGGAGAGCAGATGAATGAATGCCGGAAAGGAAGTACGATCTATCCAGGAAGAGAATAAGCTCAGGCACATTTCCAAGGTCCAAATTATCGTCCAGTGAATATTCATTAAAATCCTGCTACAGGACTTGGCTCACACTGGACAGCCAGTAAAATATCCGTGGAATAAGTGAGTAAATAAATGCCTTCTACATGCCCAGCCCCAGAGAAACCAGTGCAGGGGCACACAAGGCTCCTGATCCACAGGCCTTGTGCCTGTGTCACGTCCAGTGGGCTGGCACTAACTAGATCTAAAGAAAGCACAAGCCACAGGAATGAAACGCCAGCTTTGCTGAGTAGGAAACCCACAGGTTACCACTTGGGGGCACAGAGCTCCCCTCAGGGCTGCCCTTGACCTGGTGAGGCAGCCCCGACCCTGGCTCTGCACCGGCCACTCTGCTCCACGCAAGGGACCAGGCAGGTAACTCCCCCAAAGCAAATTTAGCAATGTGGCCCGACACAGCAAAGGGGCCTGGCAGTGAGATGACCTCTTCACAGGTGATGGAGAACTGGGTCTCCAGTCCTCCCCCCAGCCAGCTGTGTACTACAGTGCAGCCGCTCGATCTCCTTGTGCCTCACTTCCTTCATCTGTAAAGTGGGAAGGGGAGCAGCCTCGTCCTCTCTCCCTTCACCCTTCACCAGAGCCCCAGACTCCCTCCCTCACCCCCATCCCCATCCCTGCATCAGGAACCCTGACCCGGATAGGAAACAGGCCCATCGTACTTGCCCTGTGGGAACAACAGCAGCAAACAAGCAGCTTACCCAGAATGCCTCGGCTGTAACGCAAGAGCCAACATTTAAGCTCAGGTCACCCCGCACCCACGTCTGTTTTTCCTACCAACCATAGTCACCACCCGTTTATACGGTGGGCCTTTTCCCTTCTGCCTGTCTCTGCCCATTGGGGCAGTTTACATGAAATAATGCCAAGGCCTAAACACCCCCAAAGGCCCCTCTCATGCCTTTGAATTATAGTTTCTTGCTTCCAGGTAAGAGCCAAGGATTCCTGGGAAAGAACACAGTGTGGCTGGGGTGTTGGGGTCACCCCTCTTGATCCTGGGCTGCCAGAGAACAGGGCCTGCACCTCGCACCCAGGGCCCTGCCCTCAGGCCCTTTGGGAAACTTTCTTGATGGTGGCGGTGTTTGTGGTGAGCCTGGCGCAGGGACAGACCTTGGTGCTTTCTTTTAAACTGCTGTGGCATCAGATTTGGTATTTTTTCCACTCTGCCTGGGGCCACTGTGAGGCAGGAGGGGCCGCTGGAATGAGCAGAGTCGTGAGCCAGGAAGGGAGGGGAACGTCCTAGAACATTTAACAATCAGCTGTGCCCGTCTGGCCGTCTGGAAGCTGACCAACCTGTGCTCCCCTCTGACAGGAGCCCAGATGCTGGCACCTCTGCGGTCACCGCCTTCTCTGCTGTCCCACTGACCAGCGAAGCTGCCTCTCAGCTCATCTCCGCCACTGAGCCTCCTGACTTGTCCACGCCGCCTGCTACAACCTACAGGAGGGACGAGGCCAGTCAGACGGAATGGGTCTATGAGGGTAGGGGTGCTGCACCCTGCTGGCCGTGCTCGGCTGGGCTGCCTGTGGGCTGGGGGAGGAACGGTCTTGCAGCATTTTTGTAAAATACTGTGGCTCGAGCCTTCTCTCTCATGCTAACGACACTGTACCGCTTCCTGTGCCATCTGCAGTCATATCTGGGGTAGGAAGTTAACTTCTCTGCTAGCCCTGCTACCCACTTCCTCCCGTCCCAGACCCCCCTTGGAGAAAGAGCATGAGCAAAGAGCTGGAACAAATAGCTTCTTCGATCTTTCCTTCTGCATCCCCTCCCCCGTTCCTTCATTAGTCTTCCTGTTCTTGTTCTACATGAACACAGGCACGGTTTCCCTCAGCGACACAGGCCATTTTCTTCCCAGATTACAAACTGGTTCCCTGGGGCAAGAGGTTGAAGCCACATAATCACATGGAGAACATCGAATGGGTGGGACTCAGCCCCCCTCAGACCGTCTCAGCGTGCAGCCGGAGCCGGCCCTGACTCAGAACCAGCCAAAACCACCCGTGTAGCGAACCTCTGTGGCGACAGCTAGGAGACACGCAGGAGAGAATCCAGCAAGATTCCATTCAGGGTCTTAATTCTCCACCCAATTAAGCCCCCAAACCCCTCACTCTAGGGTCCTGGGCATGGAAGACTGAACAGCGTGTCTCACGATGATTAATCATTTAAATCTTGCCTTAGTGGGATCGATCCATCACTAATTCACAGATTTATTTCCGTAGTCATGGCAGCAGTAAATTAGATTCCCCAGTCACTTCACCTCCCTGCCCCTAGCTTTGCCTGCTACATTGTGTAGCTGAAAGGTACTTAAATGACATTACAACCCTATAAGAGGATGGAGAGGCAGAGGACAGGCCCAGCACGGACAGGCGACATTGGTTTACTTGGGACGTTTGTCAGCATGTGTGCTCTCAGGGAGCCTCAAGAACTGGAACCACTGCAAAGTCAGTGAGCATGACCGCTGGGGAAAATCTGAGCATTTATCTAAATATTCATAAGCAGGATTCCAAAAGTCATTTCCTGGGTAATCGCCGGTGAAGTGCCAGTGTCAAGCTTGAAAGGACGTGGGAGGGGAGAAAGGGGACCGGAGAAGGCTGGGTGTGAGATCCTGCTCACGCCACTGTGGACTCCCCACAGAGAGGCCCCCCTGAAATCCTTGTGTCGTTTGCTCTGCTCATTCATCCACCACCCTCTTGGTCTTTAAACTTAATTAATAATGCTAGTTATGTCTGTATTTAATTTTGGTTGTAAGCACCATGTATATTTTGGTCCGTATGGGCATGTTTTTCAGCTATGTATCCTTCCAATACTGAGTTCCTTAAAGCAAACCTATGTTCAATGTTTAGGAAAAGTCTGGCCACCCACAATAAATGTCTACTGATCTAACACTGTGACGTTGGTGGCCTAAACCAAAGGTATGAACTATTTTGGAGTCTCTAAGCCAGGATCAATGACATCCCACATTCCTGCAGTTACTTGGGAGCATGGCCATTAGAGCAGAGATTGGAACGCAAGGAAAAGCTAGCGATTTCCTAAAATTCATGAAGGTTTTTCTTTTCCCTTCTGCCTATGGTTTTCGGTGTATCTTTCTGGAAAGCATTGGTGGTAACAGGTACATGACTGTGTCTGGCCAATGGATTGGAGAAAGTATGACAAAGAGTGACAAAGAACGTGTAGACATAGCAGCTCTCAGGCCCTGGGTCACCACCAAATGCCAAGAGTATATTTACGGCCTAGATAGCCAAGTCAGCTCCCAAGAAAGCCATGGAAAGGAATATTCCATCTTTGCTGGCAGCCTTTAGGGTCAGGGAAGTCAGGATCGTGAGATGCAGGCTAAGAGCAAGAGGCTAGCAAGCCAGTCACACTTCCTGCCAAGCCGTTCCGTCTACTGATTTTGAAATGATTCCAGTTCTCAGCTCCGTTAGAGCGCTACGCTGACAAAATCTCAAGGGAGCACTGAGAAGGAGCATCCACGTTCTGGCGCTTAGTCTCCAACACAGGCTGACCACGTGCTTGAGGAGGAGGGGAAAGAGCAGGACGTCGTCGTGAGGATGACAAGAAGGAAAGCAGGATGTGTGGTGCTCCAGGAAGGCAGAGGAGCCACTCCTGAGCCAGGAGGAGGTAGCGGAAAGGGACATAGGAAGTCAGTCCGTGGAGGAGGGGGAGAGCGAGTCCTCTTGCAGCTGGAGCACAGATTACCACGGATTCTCAAGCGTGGCACATGCGAAAAAGAATTTGCTCTCAGCCCCAGGCAGATGCTGCCCAAACACGTGTTGAAAAAACACAGGTGACCTCAGCAAAAGCAACCTGCAAGGCTGAGAGTGGAGGGCTGAGGCCAGGAGGAGCGAGCAGAGGGGTAGCCAGGCGTGGGCACTGCAGCTCCAGAGGGCCCAGGACTGGGCGTCCCTGTCGCTGGGCACTTGTGAAGATGCAGCTTCCTAGTTTCTAGCCTTTATGAGAATCCCCGTCCAAGACAGCCCGAAATCTGCATTCTTAACAAGATCCCCAAAGGCTTCTCGGGCACAAAAACAGTGGAGAGCCAGAGAACCTCTAGCTTCGGATGAATTTCATGGGTGCTGGGCTCCTGTTTCTAACGCGCGTTTTTATTATGGAATTGTTCAACCCCAGCGGGTCAGAAGCAGGGTTTCGCATGGCACGGCCCTTCTCGACAAATACAACTTTGAACCACATGTGGAGGGAAAATATCCAGATAAATCCCTGAAAGTTATTACTCCAGAGGGTGGCAGGTCTGACATGGAAAAACTGCTAAAGGCACAGAAAATACCGTGTGATCCATATGAAGTGTTCAGAAGGCCCGGAAACACTATTGATGGCCTCAGGTGTGTATCTATCCAGACACAGAGCAGGGTCGTAAACCAGGCAGACCAGAAATCCTAACCCAGAGCGTTATATCCACGCTTGCAGAAATCCTCAAGCCTGGCACACAATCGGTACTCATAGATATCTGTTAAATACTCATGAAATTGTTGTTGAATCCTTACCTGATTCAAGATCGGATCATGATGATAAAAGGGTATGTCCTACTTCAAAGAAATAGCGTTGGTAGGAAGGGGCCTATAGACAGAAATCTGTGTACCTGCAGACACAGTATGTAGAAAAGTGTGGGTGAAGATTAACAGAGAGGGGGGAAGTGATACTTCGAGCCACTTGGCCAGACGGTGAAGAAGTTTGGAAAGCTCCCCCACGTGCAAGCAAGTATGTTTGCACAGGTTTTCCTTCAGCGGACTTGGATTTTGAAAGATCATGTGCAGAGGTTAAAAAGACAAGGATGTTCCCAACAATAAATATAGGAAAATGGCTCTGAACTTTAAGGATAGTGTCAGGAAAGCTGAATCCCAGGATAAACATTCTTACCAAAAAGTAACCACGAGGTCTTTTGTGTCTCTTCATTATGAAAGGTGGTAGGCACATACCCAGTGGAGGCGGCGTGTGTGCCCCTGGGGGTAGTGACGGAAAGAATAGCCAGAATCCAAGGGAGCATGAGGTCCACCGCACACGCCTGGGGTCTCTGTCGGTCACCAACTGAGGCTGCAGTGGAAGGTTTTGCAGGCAGAAAGTGGCCTGGGCCTTGTGTGGGTCAAGGCAGTCCCGGCTTTGTGCAATTCTCCACCCACCACGAGCCCCACGGAGTCAGAGTTTTCGTTACAGAGCCACAGCTGGGAAGGAACACAACGTAAGGTGTGGAGATCACAAAGGAGGTCCCCTCTCCATCCCCAAAGGCATAATAGGGACACAAAATCAAGCCAAGCGCCAACCTGGTGCATTTTTCAGGGCTGTCCGGATGGGCCAGCTTGAAAGTGCTGGTGTCACTTGAAGCTGAGACAACAGACCCCGTGATTTCTCTGGGGCCCCAATTATCCTGGAGAGCCACTTCCTCCGAGCTCTTGCCTCAGGATCCACACCTTCCCAGGAGTAGGGAAGAGAGGCCCAAGTTATGACTGTCAATGCCGCAATTCAATTTGCACCCTGTCTCACTGGAGGCAGGAAGCCCCTCTCCTGGCCCAGGGTGTCATGATGCTGTGGTGGCCTTTAGGAACAAAGACCGTGGCTATCTCTGGTGACGTTTTCTAGCTCACTGGCTTGGGGATTCATCTCTTGCACCCTGGTTAGCAATTATGAGCTGCATGCAATTCTAGAAACTGACAATTTTTTACAAACCCAGTAGAAGATAGATGTATTTCTTGACATTTCCAAGAGAAAGTTACACTCAGAATAAATCTCCCTCAGAATAAAATCTAAAGTCCTTCCTGTGGCCTTCCAGGTCCTCTGAGAGCTGGACCCTGCCCCCGTCTCCTCTCTGGTCTCCCCTCCTGCTGCATCCTTCACACTCCTTCCATGCCAGGCATATTGTTCCCCTTGCAGTTTGTCAGATATGCCAAACACATCCCTCCCATATCCACCCCAGGGCCTTTGCACCTCCTGCTGTGAATGCTCTTCCCCAGCTCTCTGCCTGCTCATGCCCTCACTTCATTCAGGACCCATTCAAATACCAGTGTGTCAGACCAACCTTCACCAGCCACGAGGAAAACACACTTTCTTAAGTCAGCCACCAAGACTGACCCTTTTATTCCTAATTTTAATACTACCCCCAAGTTGAATTTTAGGTAATTTGGTGAACTTATTTAAAGTCTTATTGATGATGTATGCATTTTTTGAAAGGCAGGGGTATATGCCATAAACCTATTTCTTTTTAAAAATAATTTTTTAATTCTTTTTGTTCCCCTTTCCAAATGCCTTCCTTTCGATGTGCCATCCAAAATTGAAAGCCCCGGAGTTTCTTTCCCAAGTGAACTTCTGGGATAGTATGACGGAGGATCACATTGACAAGCTGGAAGCTGAGGACTTCGAAGAGACTGTAAGTTGGAAAGAGACCTTTCTCTGGACACGGGAGCAGGGTGGTCCAAGGCCAGCTGGGAACTGCCCCTCGAACCCTGAGATTCATAGCTTCGCTCTGTTGTTTGCACAGCCGGAATAAACTTTTCACAAAAACAGACGTAATTTTCAGTGGTACGCATTAAGTCAAAAAGCATCAGAAGAGAGCCACATGTGGTATTCCAAGCCCCTACTTTTGGAGTACCCTGCTTGTAATATGAGCAAATATCTCCAAGATTGCTTTTGAAGGCAGCAAAGTGAAAAATAAAACACATAATATTATCCAGGTATCAAGGCAAATCATTCTTTGCAGATATCCTGTGTAAAAATAAACTCAGATTTGGGAAAGATAGAGTAGATGTACTTTTTCTTACTCTTTCCCACTAAATATAGCTTAAAACCCTAGACATCGTATATGAAACAAACATCACAGGAAGGCCCTAAAGGCTGCAGAGAAGAAGGCAGGCCGGCCGCAGCCATGGGATTCAAGGGCCAACATGGCAGTACGTTTCCTGGGGTTTTTTTTCACCCCATATATTTCAGCCTGGGTGGTAGAGAATAATACAGAACCCAGAAACTCCAACAAGCACAGACAGAAAAAGTTCCAAGAAAAGCCTGCTCTCTCTGTATATGGGACAACCTAGCAAGATGGAAAACTTTAGACAACAACATCTCTACTCCGGTCAAACACCACAACAAATGACCGTGGCACCTCTCCCCCAATTTGCAGTCCTGTGACTACGACCACCCTTCAATTGCCCGGTCACAGAACCAGCCCTGGCAATTCCACAGGCATCGTCTCCTCAGCTGCACCCGATAACCAGAGATGAGATGCAAACTGTAAGAGTTTAAATAAGCCTTACATCCACTGAATGTTGTATTGTCTTTAAAACAAAATTTTTGTTATGATTTTCTAAATATGCCACATCAATGTTTTGCCTGCCAGGGCAGCCTTGGGGCTCTCATTTCCTGTGTCAACTTACTTCTAAGGCTTACAACCCGTGTTGACTTAGGTGGAAGCATTATTATTCATCCTCTACTGTTGAGACACTTTCTCAGAATTATAGGTACTAACTACAATCATAACAGCGAAATTGTATGTCCTTTTGGAACCCAAAATTAAGCAGATATATTTTTCTAAACTTATGAAAGAAAAGGCAAAAAACTAGATATTTTTTTTTAAATGTTTTTAATTGAGAAATTTTCTGGTCTCTGTCCCTATTTAACCCTAGATTCATTACTTTCTGACACTTGCTTCTATACGGCACTGTATTAATAAGATTTATTTTCCAAATACTGAAATACAACATCGAAGGGAGAAAAAAAGATCACATGAACTCGGATTTACTGAGACAAGAAAGTAAATTCGGGCATTTTAAAAAGATTTTTCGACTAGAGTTGAAACCTAAAGAAATTGTTTTCATTAGATACAAATTATTCAGAAACTTGTGAGGTTTCTGTCCATCGAGGTTTGCTGTTTCAGGTGGCCCTGTGTTCACAAGTGACACATCCTCCGTGTAGCTGCGTGAGGTTCAGGAAGGGCATGGCATATTTGGGAGCACCCCAGAGCATTCCTTGGGACAGGTGGGCTCAGCAGGGGCTCTCTCTTGCCATTCCAGGGCTTTACCACTAAAGGATTTTAAGCAAGGGTATGACACAATCAGATTGTTAAAAATTTTTTATTTCGTGTTTTGATTCGAACTAGATTTTGAATTGTGAAGTTACCATATGCACATGATTTTTAAATATTGAAATAGTAAAGAAGGCTATAAAATAAATGTTTCAAGTCTCTGCCTCCTTACCTCTCAGAAATAACTACTGTATACTGCTTTTTCTGTATCCTTCTGGACATTTTAATGCATATATGAGCATATTTATCTTTAAAACACATGCATGTCCATAAATGGAGTCATAATATGCATTCTGTTCTATAGCTTGCTTTTCCCTTAACAAGATATTTTGGAAATCTTTGGTATTCCATTATGTCCTGGACCATAAATTAACTAACACCCTACCCACGGATGTTTAAGTTGTTCTCAGTTTTGTTTTTGCTTTTTTTATATGTATGTATATATGGGTGTATATATTGCAATGAATTGTGCGTATATTATTACATACAAATGCGAGTGTATACAAAGAATAAATTCCTAGTAGTTGAATGCTGGATCTGAAAGTATCTGCATCTTTAACACAAAAGGTATTGATAAATTTCCCCCCAAATAGGTTGTGCTACTTTCTTATTCCCACCAGGAGATCCTGAGAATGCCTCCTCTATCATATTCTTTCGCAGCTAGGGTCATCATTCTGGCTCATGGATAGGGTGAAAATAATAATATCTCATCGTCGTCTTTTGCAGCTCCTTCATTACGAAAGGTGTTGGGCATTTTTCACATCTATTGGTCATGTATGTCCCTTTCTGTGAATGGCCAGTTTGTGTCCTTTGTCTACTCTCCGTTGCTTCTTTCTTTTTCCTTCTGATTTATAAGGGCTTTTATATATTAAAGACCTTAGTTCCTTTTCTGACATGCATGTTGTAAATTTTTTTCCAGTTTGTATGTTGTGTTACAATCTTCTTGGTATTTTCCATGACATGGT